CAAACACAGGGACCAGACCCAGAGGTTACTTGGGTAAGGTCTAGAATGGTGATTTTCGACCAGTGTGTCATGGTGTGTTTGTGTGCAGTGAGACATTTTGAGACATTGGCCATCTGCCGCTTATGTTTCAAGAGATTCTTCGTTCCTTCGGCTGTCAGACTGTACAACAAACCTGGATGAGTCTTCTGCTGCTGGACACCTGAATTTCTCCTCAGACTTAAAGTATCTATCATATGTCCATTTATCCTATGGACCAATGGCTCTATGTGTTTTTATCACTGCATTTCTTGTGTTTGAACGGTTTGATTCTCTGATCTGTGATGGCGACTTCAACGATCTTGTAAAGTCCTCAGAGAAAACTACTGTCGTGATTTTGAGCGATACAAGAATAAATGGAATTGAACGAAAGATTACACATACTTTAATTCATTCACATTGATGGAAAAGACAATGGATGGACGGATGGATGGATGGATGGATGGATGGATGGATGGATGGATGGATGGATGGATGGATGGATGGATGGATGGATGGATGGATGGATGGATGGACGGATGGTTAGATGATGGTTGGATGGACGGATGGTTAGATGATGGTTGGATGGATGGATGGTTGGATGGACGGATGGACGGATGGATGGATGGATGGATGGATGGACGGATGGATGGATGGATGGTTGGATGGTTGGATGGATGGATGGATGGATGGATGGATGGATGGATGGATGGATACTTTATTGATCCCTGTAGGAGATGACTGCAAAGTGATTTTTTTGTCAAATTTTCAGATTCTTGTTCTGCCGCAGGATTTATTTTTTTGTTTTGATTGAAAACATATGTCATGGCTCAAAAAGGTTGGGGACCACTGGTCTTGAAGACATGGGTGTGATGGTAAGGTGTCCCATGGATGTTGGATAGAAGATCTAAACACTGATTTTCTTCTCATCGATCCCAGAATAATCATAGTCATCCGGAGCATACGGCGTGTGTTATTGTATTGATTCACCGTGGGGTCTTTTCACGGTGAGATTACCTATTTATTGATTCACTGAGTATAAATGTATATGCTGAGGTTGTTTTCACACTGCCACAAGTTGCCCCTATACGCCTACACAGACAACTTGAATGCAAGACAAGGCAAGGCAAGATTATTTGTATGGCACAATTAATACGCAAGGCAACTCAAACAAAACAAGACAAACCGGCCCAGCAGGAGGCCAGTCCCTGTGCTCCTCAGTGTCCCAGCAGGAGGCCAGTCCCTTTGCTCCTCAGAGTCCCAGCAGGAGGCCAGTCCCTGTGCTCCTCAGAGTCCTAGTAAGAGGACAGTCCCTGTGCTCCTCAGAGTCTGAGTTGGTTCTTACGACACCAACATGTCACAGATGTACATAGGTACGAGGCCATGGAGAGACTTAACCAAAGAATGATGCGGTGTGAATGTGACCAGAACACTGAAACAGAAAAAGAAATGTATTTGTTTAGACTCTGGTTGGTAATATCGAGCACACGTGACCATGAACTTGTGGGATTCCTCAGGTCAGAATCTAGCACCAACAGCGCCTTCGTCATAGAGATATTTGTAGATAGTTTTCATGATTATGAAGCCTGGGATGGTGTCTAGCCGTGTAAGTTTTGTGCTGTCGCTTTTATCTTGCAGAAGGCCAAGGTTTCCCGCTCTAACTGTAGTAAGTGTTGGAGTGGACCACTTGAGAAGTCGGCACCTTTGTGGGTCCTTGCAGGACCATTTTTAGTGTCCCCTAAAATAATTTAGTATTTTAACTGGATAGTTATGGGATACCAAGACATGTTTTTTATTCTAACATTTTCACCCAACACATCATTAGAAGTGAAATAATTGAATATAAAAAAAATTTAGTTTAGGTTGAATCTAAACAATAAACACATTTTGTTTTCAGAAAAAGCAAACAGAAAATCATAGCGAAACTCAATGTCTCGTAAGTAATGTCAAAATGCCTTCTTTTCTTTGGGCCCTCGACCAGTTCCAATAGTTTTCCATCGGGCCCTGACTAAAATGAGTTCGACACCTTTGAAGCCACGGCTCAATCCAGACAAAAAGATAAGTGTCTATTTCAATACAAACCTCCTGTGCTTCCAAACCTCAAAACGTTTCACAATCTCCACTCTTTGGCGTTGTGTCAGTATTGATCCCAGCGCAGAGAGTACTACAGAAGTGTTCTAATCTGAATCGGTCACATCTGTGCGAGAGCCGCCGAGAGGAGACAATCCACGTGAAGCCCCGGCCCCTGAGTGTCCTCCTCCAGCGCGGCGTGTCCATATCACATCTGAAAGTGAAACAACAGATGGTCGCATCAGAGAAGGTCAAATAAAACATGTGATGCCGTGCTTCAAAGGACGCAGTGGAAGAAATCAACCGGAATAGATTTTCTTTCTCATGTTTTAAATGAAAGATGATTCGTGTTTGTTGACCATGCAGGAAGCAGGACTGCAGATATAGATTTGTTTATCAAAGCAATCGATCAAACAGGGAGGCAACTGATGCTTATTTTGATAATCAATTCAGCAATGATTTTGTTTAACCCTTTAATAGTTTTAATTTTATAGATCAACTTTTGAGTCACTACTTGAGTCGATTGAATCTAAGTATTACAGTTAGTCCAAATGAAAAACGGGACCTTTTTATGAATATTTACCTCCATAATGTTTTTGAATTGCTGTCATAGTCTTAGAATTTGGCTTATAAATGTCCGTGAGGCTGGAGGACTCTACATGTCAGTCCGTCATCTTGAAATACAGTGGTTGATGAGGGACAAAAAGGAGTTTGAGCGGGAGTTGGGGACCACTATCAAAGACCACATATTGTCTTGAGAAGCCACCGTAGTTCTGTCAATTACAACATGTTCTTTTAAATGATTGGTGTTATTAGTGCGCCAACGTCTTTTAACATCCCAAAAATAATAATGTGTATTTGTTATTATCATCTAACTTTTTGACTCAACGCAGCCACAATCGCTACGGGAACTTTTTTCTGAACAGGAAATACGGAATAATTGTATTTTAAGCCTGATTTTCATTATGTGCTGATACCGCTAGAGGACGGTCGAGCTAATCTCACTGGTAAAGTAACATGTGGCTGCAGAAATAAAACAAGTTAAATCATTAAGGCCTTTGTGAAAAAAGTGTTGGTTATAGATTTGTTGTTAACTCTATTCAACTATCATTGTCTCAGCTGGATTCGTCTGCATATCTGGCAACCTGCGTTAGGGAGAGTGCAGTACCACTTTTGGCCAGATTTTTTACCTATTGCTTCTTTAGTTCTTGCTTCTTCATCATGCTAAAACTAAAACTAAAACTAAAGCTAAAGCTGGAGATTGTAGACTTCTTTTCTTATTAGGCTCAAGATAGAGATTCAATAATTGCTTCTTCTCATGCTAGCCTTAGAGATTTAATTTTATTTTACTTTAGTATAGAGTTATTATTCATTTATCTTGTGCTTTGTGCTCCCCGTTCCTTCTTTCTGTCTGTAAAGTAAGATAAACTTTATTGATCTCACAATGGAGAAATTTACCGTAACTTGTGATGCAACACTGACATTTTAAACAAAGGATCTTCTTCACCTAAATCTCAATATTATTTTTTGCACTTCTGCTTTTGGGCCCTTCCTCGTTGCATCCGTGACAAACTGAACGCCACAGACGTGACTCTGAGCCTGGGCGTCTGTTGGAGCAGGGGCTGAAGTCTTTCTGAAGCGCTCACATCTGCACTTTGCTGTAATTAGTGCTGAGTGAAGGAGCTGCGGTGGTCTCAGCGCTGCAGAGGGCGCAGGGATTGGCCCTGATGCCCCGGAGATTACCCAGCTGCAGTCGCTCGGTGACCCATGGGCTGGAGGCGCTGTACCCCCTCCACGCCGGGGTAATCTCTCATATATCATGGGTGAAGAGATTACAGATATTATATCTCACTTTCAGCACAGCATCCAGAACCTGAAACACTAATGATTTACTGTATATATTATTTACATTTTAGACCAAAGTGCAAATATCTATTCTACTACTACTACTACTACTACTGCTACTACTGTTACTACTGCTACTGCTACTGCTACTACTACTACTACTGCTACTGCTACTACTGTTACTGCTACTACTACTGCTACTACTACTGCTACTACTACTACTACTGCTACTACTACCGCTACTGCTACTGCTACTACTGTTACTACTGCTACTACTACTACTACTACTACTGTTACTACTACTACTACTACTACTGCTACTGCTACTACTGTTACTGCTACTACTACTACTACTGCTACTACTACTGCTACTACTACTACTGAGAATGACAAAAAAATGGAAACAGTTTTACAGTGGAAGCCTTTCATATCTGAAAAAAATACTTAAATTCGTATAATCAAAAAATGATTTCATTTCAATCAACCTAGAATGCACATTAGTATGCATGCACCTGTTGATCGAATGGATGCTTTACTTTAAGTAATGTATAAATAGATCTATAAAAACATAGTGGAAAAACTACTTTGACATAAACTGGTCATAAGGAGCTCAGTCAAACAAAAACAACCAACATATTATACAACCTATATTCTTCTAGTCAGACTTTTTGGGTTGCATCAGCAAAGAATTGAGAATTGAGAGATTTCACTTTGCATCACGACAGACACTGGACCCGGTCTGTCAGTCTCCATCTTTCCCTCTCTGTGAACCAGAGATACTTTATTTATTCCTCTGGGAAGGACCTCTGCACCACTGCAGGGCAAAGCATCTTTCTCTGGTGGAAAAGAATGGCCTGGAATTTACTTTGGCTAAAATCTGATGTGTCGATAAATATGTTTAATCGTGTGTGTTCATTGATATGTACTGTCCCAGTCAATTAAATGCAAATACAAAAACACATTTCTTGCCACAAAAATAAACAGTATAGACAGCTCAGTCACACGTTCACAATCACTAGTGATCACTAGTGTCTTGCTCAAGGACACAATGAGAATGTGAACTGAGCAGAATGATGAAGGACAAGCTGCTGCAGTACCACACCAGTGCACTAGAGGTCCCTGTTGTTCTCCAATCACACTGTGTTTGTTTGTTTGGAAATGATCTTGGGCAAAGTCAGATTGATCAGTTGTTTTATTGATCGGTTCAGAATCTGCGTCTTTACTTTGGTGAAAATTAAACTTGATTTTAATTTGAAAAGGTTCCACACCATCAGGACCAGAAATGGATCTACAATATCCAGATTATAATATTGTGTCCTTAGGCAAGACACTTCCCCCACATTAGAATGAGTCTGCTGTGTGTGTGAATGGTTGGTGGTGGTGGGAGGGGCCGATGGCATAGACTGGTTGCCTCGCTTCTGTCAGTGTGCCCCAGGGCAGCTGTGGCTATAGTAGTAGTTTATCACTTCTGTGTTTGGAGTGAAAGAATGATACATAGATAGATAAATAACTTTATTGCAGACTCGAGGTCCAGATCAACACAGACAAGAAAAAACAGCCGACGATAAAAACCTCTAAACTTTCAAAAATATTTCTTAATTATTCAAGCAACATATGATCTTACAGATGTACAGAGGTGAGCAGTGGCTCCAAACAGAGCTCATTTCACCTCTACAGAGCAGAGTGTCGGCAACGCTCAATGAGGTGTCTTTGAGCGTCCTGAAAATCACTGTATAAACCCAATGCCTTGTTTTCAATATGGCAGTTAGAATATTGTTCATTTACTTTTATTGTATTGGCACAGGCTGGTTGCCTCGCTTCTGTCAGTGTGCCCCGGGGCAGCTGTGGCTATAGTAGTAGTTTATCAACACCGTGTATGGAGTGGATGAATAGTGACAAGTTTGCGTGTCCTGAAAAACCGCTGTTTAAAACAATGTAGTATTTTTAATTGAAGACAACCTCACTCACCTCCTGCTGACACCGATACAAAAATGAGACACTGCAAAGTCTCATCAAGATGTTGTTTATAGTAAGAAAAATAATAAAAAAAGCACGTTATTTTCTTTCTTTATTTTTTTTCACATTATATTGACCAATTGGGGGATTTGAGAATCGATAGAGGACCACTCCAGCTCAGAGTTTGAGATGGCCGACCCAAGAAGAAGAAATATTGTAACTAATGATATTGTATTGAAACAAATGAAAGACTACAGCTATTTAAATCACCTCACTTTTCTTTATCAAAGCCGTTAAAATATCACCTCAGAACCTGAATGGAATGATTGGCAGGAGGAGGATTTGTGGCAGTGATTGTAATTAAATACAGTCTGGTTCTTGTGACGGAGAAACATTTATCTCTGTCATCGTTTCCTGACTCTTGGTGAACAGTAATGGCTGATATCCCGCTCCTTTGTCAGTTTTCTAATTGGTCCTAAAGTGTTGAAGAGAGCTCTCTGGGACGATAAGGACGACATTATTATTAACGTATCCTGAAATAATTGGTTTGGTGGTTTTAGATTGTGCCATATTGGATACTTGACTCAAAGAATGTCTTTTTTCTTTTTTTTTCTTCACGTCTTTTCACTGGGATTCTGGCAATGGCTTCTTGTTCATTTTAGAATTGCTTCTGTCAGTGTGCCCCAGGGCAGCTGTGGCTACAGTAGTAGTTTATCACCACCGTGTACAGAGTGAATGAATAATGACATGTGAAGCGTCTTTGAGTGTCCAAAAAGCACTTTATAAAACTGATGCATTATAATTATTATTATTATCATTATTATCATTTTTAAGATGATGTTGTTTGTTTGTAAAGCTTTGAATGGACTGGCCCAAAAGTCTCGGACCTCATCCAAATGTACCACCACCCCTCGTGTACTGAGACTTTAAGGACAGAGGTGATGATCCAGTTTACTCAATATATAAGAAGCAATATGTAAAAAATCTGGTCAAAAATTGTACTGCACTCTCCCTGACTCAGGTTGCCAGATATGCAGACGAATCCAGCTGGGACCGTAACAGCTGAATAGACAAGAGTTTTGTCAACAACAAATCTATAACCAACACCTTTTCACAAAGATAGAAATCCCTTTTTATTCCTTGTTTTGTCCTTTTTTAGTTCTGCTGCCACATGGTACTTTACCAGTGAGATTAATTCCACGCAGTGGGTTCTGGCAACCCGGATCACAGACTTCCTGGTTGGTGAAATGGTGGAGGGCGGGACATGAAAATGAAAACAATAACAAGATTTGGGGCTGTAAAACTATTTTTGAAATTTGAATATCTCGGAACTACTGTTAGTGTTGGACAAGAGCATGTTTTATTAATGCTTTTTGACAGATTAGGGCCCTTTAATGATGAATTTACATGAAAATCTTACATATTGCTACTTTAAAACCTTTATGGACATTTACTGTTGTATAACTTATTATTGTCTGCTATTGAAGAATCAAACAACATTTTACAAAGAAGACAAAATGAAACTTCCTAAAATATGGATTGGATTTTTTTTGTTACTACCACCTTAAGCTCTTCCAGTACCATCTTTAAATCCCCATACAGGACAAATGTGCAGTAAATATGCATAAAGGGAATGGAAATGTACTGTATGGACATGTCTCTGCAGAATCACAAAGTAAACATTGACTTAGAGAAGTCCTGTGTTGTGCAAATGCAGAGAGCTGCTGAATGTTTGGTGCCATCTGCTGACTTCAAGTATTCCACTTAAAAGATTTGAGTCTTGGTCTCCTCCTGTCTGAATGGGAGAGGAACAGATGCCACACTATCCACTATCACTACAGACACAGAAGATATACATTGTTATAGAGTTAACATTGTGGGAAGGTCATACTGCAGTATTGTCATTATATACATTTAGTCACTAAGTAAGATTTATTTTCACTGCCTGAGAGTTTCCAAAGTGCTTTGCAACATTGTGGACATATTTCCTCTCACAATACAAGACCTAAATTTGGTAGTGGAAACCGGAGCACCTGGAGGAAACCTGCACAAGCACGGGGAGAACATGCAAACTCCTCACAGAAAGGCCCCGTCTAGTGGTGTTGAACCCATACATCTTGTGGTGATAAAAACGCCCGGGTCAGCGCTTTTTAGGACCCTCAAGGTGGCTACACATGATATTATTCTACTTTACTTACTTTTCTCTAAGCAAGATCTTTTTTTTTTGCGTTAGTTAGATTTATTTTAAACCTGCCGAACACCCATCTTCACACTAACACAAGAATACAAGTTTGAAAAGGGGTTGGATTAAGTTGAGTTTAGAAGAACGTGTTATTAAGTTGCATAGTTCTGTAGCTGAGTGGTTAGCATTCTGCTTCTCACCAAGAAGGTCCTGGTTCCGATGGTTTCCACCTCCAAACCCGGTCTTTCTGAGTGGAGTTTGCATGGTCTCCACCCTCCACCCTCCCCCGAGTCTACATAGGTTTCCTCCAGGTGCTCCGGTTTTCCACTCAAAACCATTCTGACATCTTGGTAGGACTTTAGATTCAATGAAACAATGTAATTTTTATGTGATATTTGCATCTGTTTGTATTGTTTTGGTAGATTTTGTTTTGAACGCTCCTTTTGGCTCGTCAGTTCTACAATCAGAGCTACAACGCTGACATTACGAGGCCACTATGACTCATGCTGCAATCTGTAAACAGTAAAAAAAACATGTTGGTTGCGTTCCCCACATTTTTACCCTGTTTTCAACTCCTTTCATTTCCTCACTGCTGCAATTACTGTCCCAACTGTTATTCCCATGTTGTTTTTTGAGGTCTACTTTGTTCAATGTTTCCGTGGATGTTTGGCTAGTCCTCCAGCCACTGTGGTTTTTGCAGCACGGAAAAGGGTGCGGCCCATTCTGTGTTTTTTCCATAAGGATCAGACTGGGAAGTTCTGAGCCTCCATGCAGCCTTCATTTAGACGCGGTGTGGAAATGTGTGACTGACGCACCGAGAATCCCCTGGAGGCTGTCCAGACACGTCACCCACGGCAACCAACAACAATTGTGCAAAAAACAGCAAGAAATGTGGTTCGAGTCCAAACAAGACTGAGCAGGAGGCTTTTCCACAGTGAAGTATAACAAAAGTGTCACAAAGTTAAATAAAATGCATTTTAAAGAAACGGACCACAAACTTAACAGATATTTATACGCATTATTTTGTAGAAATAGATACATTTTAAAGATAAAGTAAGTTACATGTGGCTTCTATAAATATCAATCAGTGTCTGCAAATAGACAGAAAATTTGCAAAAAAATGTTTCTCGGGTGCAACATGGGTAAAAAATATGTATGATATTAAGGGCTTATTAAATGTTTTATTATATGACTCTCGTCTGTGTCTTTACCAATGCTTTTGAGATATTTGTGAAGTATGTTCATGTCCGACTTGGTTTTGTGTGATACGGGCTGTGGACCGATTGTCATGGTAACGGTCCGAGATGGGAAAACACCAGACCGGTAATCAGCCAATCAGAGCGCGCGTACGGTCCAAGTCATATAATAATTATGTATATTTCAAAAAGTGACATTGCTAGTTTTAAGTCCCAGTGCAGGTCGTCAGTTAGTGACAAATGTGACCAATGATAATAGCTCAAGGTAGCAGCTGTAGCAGTAGTAGTTGTAGTAGTAGTAGTAAGAGTAGTAGTTATACCTCTCCAAAGATACTTCTGCCTCTGCATATAATTGCTACTCCAGCTTGCCCGTTACATTAGTATTAGTAGCAGAAGTTGTAGGAGTACTAGTCGTATTAGTACCACTAGTAGTAGCAGCCGTAACAGTGGCAGTATCAGTACTAGCAGTTCTAGTAGAAAGAGTATTGGTAGTAGTAGCAGTAGCATTAGTAGTAGTAGTAGTAGATGTATGAGTAGCTAGCAGCAGCAGCCATATAATGTATTTATTTGAAACGGACACAACAGTTACATTGGACAGACCAGATGCACTGCCTTTGGTGTTGTACCAAGACCATGCTCATTTTCAACACTTTTATTACAAGTAGCAGTAATAAAAGTAGTTGTCGTAGTACATAGAAGTAGCAGCAGTACACGCAGTGATTGTAGCAGCAGTAGTCGTAGTTTAAGCAACATTTTGAGCACTTTTCACCTTTCAAACGTTGTATTATTCATGTTTTTGTTCACGATTGCTCATCTCTGTACCACCACTGTATACAAAACATTGCAAAACTCTTTAAAAGTTTGAAGCTACCCACAATGCACCAAAACACGACCGAAACCACCCGAACCAGGCGTCCACTGAAACCAGACCACAGCAGATCTGTAACAAACATGGAGTGTGTTTGGTTTCCCAGCTCTCTCGGCTCCGCTCTGCACTCACCACTGGAGACACGCCCGAGCCTGCTTTTCTTTGCCACAGCCTTCGTGAGGGTGTGTTCACAAAGTCTCCCCGTTTTCAGCCCCAAAGATCACTTCTACTGCCGCTACCAGCTTTACAGACGCCATAAGGTAACTACAAACAATATACAGCACAACCTTAAACAAGAGAAACATTTTAATGATCGAGAAATGTCTTGTTATGTCATGAGTAAATGCATTCTCTACTTTGACAATCTTTTGTAAATGTCCGTACAGCACATCAACAACAACTTGAATCTCTTATACAGTATTTGTTATGAAGAAAGCATGTTGAAATAGAGTTTTATTGTGTGTGTTTTATTACTTAAAGAACCAACATGCCAGAAATAGCAGAGACCGTGTCGGCTTCTCTCACCACCAACAGAAACTGCACCATTGAAATCAGCAATGTCAGCAGCCTCTACTGTCTCATCAACCCCAAGTAAGTGCGGCCGAGCAATGGTGCTTTTAGACAACTCGTTCTGCTCATAATGCACTACAAGACGTTCTTTTTAATCCTGTTTATTCATTTATTCATTACTCCTGTCGCCGTGCATATGTCAGAGGAGAGGAGACGGGCTGAACCACAATGTCAGAATAGAGCAAACTGTTTTCTGAATAGAATGATACAAGAGAGATATATCATTACAGACATGTTTATACCACACTTTCAATCACCCTTTCCCCTTGTGAATTGTTATTGCTGGTTTTAGTTTTTATGCATTAAAAACATGAACATTCACAGGTAATGGTTACTGTATATGGGTAGATTCTACAGGCACCAGATGACAACCCACGCTTTGCGTCTACATTGGGAAAAGCTTTTGCTGTTGAGTTGTTCTTATTGATGTCCTTAAAGTAATTTGACTTTTTTTTTAATTTCTTTACTAACCCATTGTTTTAAACTTCTCTCCTCCAAACTACTTCCTGGTTCGTGCCAAACTATGATTTATACTTACAACCGATACCCGATAAAAAAAAATCACTGCAGTTAAATAGTTAGCATGAAAATATACATTTGAAGTCTGAATCTTTTTTTATTTATTGTTTTATTAAAGGAAACAAAACAGACCAACACATCAACGATCGAGCAAGAACACAAAAATATCAAGACATGAAACAAAAACACAAAAATACAACCCCAAACCGAAAAAAAACATAACACAAAGACAAGAAGACAAAATTATATATAGAATAATAATAATCGAAAAAAGCCTGAACCGTCTTATACAAGTTCTAAATGAGATCTATAAAAACAATTCTACCATTTTAGTTGTATAGGTGCAATCTTATCGTACCTTATCACTGATATAGGAAAACATAAGAGAACCAGTGTTTGTTTTACAGCAGGGAAATTCCAGTTTGCAGCACACATACAGACCGATAGTAAGAGGAAGAGTAAGAGTCCGCAAAATATACAATAAAAGTGTCAGCTGCGTTTCTTAGCTAGCTGTAAATATATATACCAAATGAAAAGGTCTCAGCTCCACGCTCCCCCGCGCTCCCCCGGCAGTCCCATCGGTATTGGCGTGGCGTGCTGTGGCCGCGCGGTGACAGGACGGTGCGGCTCGCGGATGGCTGGTTTCATGTGTGACATCAGTTTGCAGAGAGCATCCTGTCTGTCCCGCCGATCCATCAGCCATTGACAAGCGCCGCCTCATTGCACCGCGCGCAGGTACACTCAGTGAAGCTCACGAGTCCGCGCGCTCGCACTCCATCCATCAGCATAAAGCAGTCGCCGCGGAAACACACTGTGCCAAAAAGTACACTAAACCGACAATGAAGTTTCACATGGGAAGTTTAAAAGGCAAGAATCACGGAGGAGTTTGTGATGAATGAAGACAGACATAAACTTGATTTTAACTCATTGACTGCCAGCCATTTTGAGGATTTCACTGATTCTCAAGACCCACAGAATATTTTTTACTAAGACTATGTTAAATATGAAACCAGATTCTGAAAGACTGGAGTGTCTACTTTCATCAGTCAAAATAAGTTTGTTTCTAGCTATTTTTATTGTCCTGTAATCCCCAGTCGAATAGAGGGTCTCAGACAAATACGTCAATGGCAGTCAATGGGTTAAAGTAGTAATATGTAGATGTGTGTAATAAAACATGCTCTTTTCAAATACTTCTTTAACTGAAAACTGTGGTTTAGAGATATTTGGGTTTTAAAATTAGTTTTGAAATACAAATATCCAAAATGTTGTTGTTTTCATTTCGATGTCCCGCCCTCCACCATTTTATCAATCAGAAAATCCGTGATCCGTGTTGCCAGAACTCACCGCGTTGTGCAAATCTCACTGGTAAAGTACCATGTGACGCAGAACAAAAAACATTCTCGTTATGATTCTCAAATCATTAACGACAAAACAAGGAATAAAAAGTAGTAGTGGCATTTTGGAGGAGCCTTTGTGAAAAAGGTGTTGGTTATAGATTTGTTGTTGACAAAACTCTTGTCTATTCAGCTGTTATGGTCCCAGCTGGATTCGTCTGCATATCTGGCAACCTGAGTCAGGGAGAGTGGGAGAGGCTGCAGTACCACTTTTGGCCAAATATTTTACAAACTGCTCCTTTAACTGTTGCACTTTAGTCAGATAGAGTTCCCATGAAACGGAAAATATATTACTATGATCCAAATCGTAACTTCTTTCGTCACAGGTCAATTCTAAGGCAACATACTACAATGCATTATTATTATTATTATTATTATTATCTGCACAGACATCAACGCAAGATAATGCCATATTATTGCAGAGTCCCATCAGATAGACTTTATTGATCTCACACATTTGGCACAGACAGAATCACTCAGATTGTGCTGAAGACAGAAGCGTGCAACATGTTGAAAATATACAATGTTAAAAATATAGTCTGTGCAGGATATAATTATGCAAAATAAGTTTTCCGTCCTAGTGCATTACTGACTTAAGATATACTTCATAGATCGCACAATGTAGAAATGTACATGTCACATTTGTCATAAAAGGATCACTCAGGTTTTACGCACACATTAATAATAATAATAATAATAATTCGAGGGGCCGATGGCACATACTGGTTGCCTCGCTTCTGTCAGTGTGCCCCAGGGCAGCTGTGGCTACATTAGTAGTTTATCACCACCGTGTATGGAGTGAATGAATAATGACACATGTGAAGCGTCTTTGAGTGTCCAAAAAAGCGCTATATAAAACCGATGCATTATTATTATTATTATTATTAAAATATATAATCTTTATTCTGGACTCAAGCTTCATACAAAAGACAACACAAGGACAACACAAGACACAAAAAAACACACACAATAAAATAACAAAGACTAATGACTCATTTACGGAATTTGCAGAACTGAGAAATATCTGTTGTACTGAGGTCAAAACACAGTGACTTTGCCAAAATACTGATATCATAATGTCCACATACATGAGGAAGTGAGTAAGGGTTATTTATGTGGCGCTTTTTACAGACCAAGCTCACCCAAAGCGCTTTACAATTGTTCAGAGTTCAGATTGTTATTCTGATCAGTTGTTGTTGTTGTGTCTTTTCCTTTCTCCCGTAGGGTCTACATGGCCAGCGGCTTCTCCCAGCACCCTCCTCAGCCGACCGTCCGCACGGCCAAGACCGAAGTGTGCACCTTCACCAAAGACGACAACACGGCCACCGGCTCCGTGGGGCTGCTCACCTACGACATCTTCCACATGCAGAACCGCCACTGCTCAGAGCGCATGGCCATCATGTTCTCCGTGCCCTTCGACCGCAACCTGTACAAGAACAAGCTGGCCATCGGCATCTTCGAGCATTCCGTAGAGTGCGACAAGCAGCTGTATAACCAGATGTACGACGGGAAAGATTTGAGTAACTTCACCCGCTCGGAAACCAACGGGAGCGGGCTGGTCTATCAGGGCCCGAACCTGGACGTGCGCGCAACTATGTCCACTGTTGGGAAAGCGATCGTGAAAGTGGAGCTGTATGACATGATGGGCCGCTAAAATGTGCGTTTTCAGTTTTTTACGGTAGTCCCGAGTATTCTTAACGCCATACTGTATAAAAGGCGTTCAATCCAATCCAGTCCAACCCACTTTATATTTGTAGCACATTGTATAAGACAGGTTTCCAAAGTGCTGGACAGATTAAAGTAACACATTAAAATACACACAAGTCGGCCAGCTTTGAATAAAAACAATAAAAAAAGTAAAGTAAAAAAAACTATTTAAATAAAGTAATTAATGATATACATGAAATGTGCGTTTTTAAGTATTTTTAACACAATACTGTATAAAAAAGCAAGACACTTAACCCCACTTTGCCTGAAGCCCCCGCTGAAAGATCTCAGCTCCTGTGGACTCAGCACCTGCAGGAGGATCAGTGAGGGGCTGGTGCTCTGTGACTGGGTGCAGCTCTGACTGCCACCCCCCGACCCAGAAATGGATTAAGGGGAAGAAAATGGATGGATGGATGGATGTATAAAAAAGACGTCCAATCCAATCCACCTTATTTATACAGCACATTTCATAAAACACATTTCCAAAGAAGTGCACAGATTAAAGTAACATATCAAAATATACGAGTCTGCCAGCTTTGAATAAAAAATAATAATAATAAAGTGAAAAAAAAAACATTTAAAATATAAAAATTGACTATATAAATGAATTAACAAAAAACAATACAAAGGAAATATTTTTAAAAAAACAAGTCAATGGATAAAAACATAAAATAATAAAATAAATGAAACCGGACCAGATAATGCACACGGGTTGTTCAAAAACATAGGAATGGAAAAGGGGATATTTTGACCCCGGAAACGCTACAGGGTCAAAAATATTTGGAGTCCTCTGAACTATCAATACAAATAAGTAGTTGGTTGAAGAGAATATTTGATTACACATGATTAAAGTTGGTATGTGAAGTTTTCAGATGAACCCTTTTTCCTCATCTTGTACTTGAAATAAAAGCATTCCAAATATCCTGTCTGGTTGGGGTTTGCTTCTTCATGTCAGAATGAAATTGGTGTTAGAAAACTATCGACATGTGATAAACTCGCAATTTATTCTCCGTTAGCGTCTTTCGAAAAGTCACACCTTTTTTAAAATTAATTGTGGAGCAGCAGAAGTGGTAAATCCAACAAGGTATAGAGGCAAAGACGATCAGCGTTGGATCCGCCTCTCTACTGCACTCAAACAAAAAATCCCATTCTTCTGTATCATTAGACATCTGCGTTTCATTTCTGATCACGTGGACGGAAAAAATGTGAAATTAAACATGTGGTCTGAGGTCTGCGGACAATTTCAAAGCACAGTTTGTTCTCCGTTCTTGTTTACGACTGAGAAAAAGGCCTGACTTTGAACCAGACTTATCCCAATGTAGATCTGAATACTTGATATCAATGAGCCCTTTGTTGGACACATGTACTTTGGTGTACTCTAGTAGCAGTAGTTGTAATACAGTAATCCAGTAGTTTATTTTGTAGCAAGAAAAATTGGCTTTTCGGTGACGGGATTAAGAAAAGATAAAATATTCCGTTATTCGTCTCACAGTGGAGAAATTACAGTGTCATCGTTGTGCACATTTACAGCAGAGAAAGAAGGACATAGGAGCACTCAGATTGGACTCTTCATAGACAATATATATATAATAGACAATATAAGTAACGTAAGATGGTAAAATAAAATAAAATAAACTCTGGAGCTAGTATCACACTTGGTTCATAAGTATTTACAGATGTGTATTGTACTTCAGCAGCAGAGAATTTGAGCAGAATAAACATCAGTAATAATATCAACAGTAAAGTGACTATAGTGAATGACTGAAGTATCAGATGGATATGTAAAAATGCAGTAATAATAACATATATATATATTTTTGTCTTTTGTCTGACTCACTATGCATCTATCCCATCTGCAACCTTGTCTATTTTGTTTTACCGTTGCCTGGTAAGTGGATTTTTTCATTGTGTTTTGTAATGTTAGGTATTGTATGTTTTGGTCTGGTGACTGTTGTCTACAATTAAAAAAAATACATAAAAAAATAACAATGATAATAATAACAGTAAAGTGATTAGTGAATGGCTTAAGTATGAGATGGATATGTAAAAATGCAGTCATAATATCAACAGGTAAAGTAGTGAATGGCAGAAGTATGAGATGGATTGCCAATGTTCGAGAAACCCCACCAAGACCCTTGATGTAGAGGCTGGTTGGCTTTGGTGAATGTATACTTCAAACACATACTTGTGCCTCTGAAAAGCACACAGTACGCAAATACTTGTGCCTCAACATGTCACCATTACACAAGAACCACAAAGAAATTCCAGACCTCAAACGCAAACCCTTCGGAGCTTTTGGGAACTCATGGGTATCCCTTATCATCTGGAAGCTGGAGAACTGGTTTGGGAGCGGCCTGAATCCTTTGGGAGCAAACATGAATCCAGTGTTTGCATAATATTCATTTCTTTCTCTTTTTTTCCCCTTGTCTTCCTAGCTCCAAACTAAGGGCGTGATACTTGCCTTGTGGTGCAAGTGGGAGGGTGTATTTTCCTCTCTGGGTAGCGGCACCTCCCTTCCCAGGACTTTTCTACTTTGCCATTTGGAGTTTCTTTGGGAGCCTTCTCGCAGGTATGTGTCAAAACCTAATCTAAAATGATATAATATTCTTGAGCAGAGCGATCATAGCCCGTTAGCCGTGGCTTACGAGTGCGGCGAGCTATTTGTCAACTCTTATGGAGCATATACTTGATTCACAACGCTTTCCGTTTATAAAAGGGGTGATAATTCTCCGTGGCGTTGAGACTAACTTCATTATGGCACGGTGCTTAGCGTCGTAATTGAAGACGTACACTCTGTAACGAGGCAGGCCCATTTCTGCAGCTATTCTCTAATTGTGGGTAAACATAGTAAAATCTCATTAGCCTTTTGAGAAGCATCTTATAAGACATTGGTACTACGCAGATCAAGGTCAATGTAGCGCTAACGGAGAAGAACAGAGAAGCTTTGACAATTATTATTATCATGATTGTGTTTGGGAGAAGTGTTGCATCTGCACATCTGCCATATTCTTGGAGACTGGACTAAGAAAAACTGGATTTCTTGGGCAAACAATGAATTTTATGCACTTTTTGGCTGTATGTTGTCGTAATGTAGGCCATACCATTTTGTATATATTCATTATTTTTGCGCTTTGAGACCCTATTTTGTGAGAAATCCTGTAAAACTTGCTTTTAGTGTGTCTTTTTGGAGGTAGGGCCATCTATGGGTTTGTCTTCAGATTCATATATTTTTGCATGTATATAGTTTATCATTACCTTTAGTGTATCGCAGTGTAGTTTATTCACGTTCACGTTCTTAAATAGTTTCTTTTAAATGGACAAACGTGGTACTGCACCCCAGACCTGACCAAGAACTGGGATTATGCTGCCACCTTTCTGTCTCCATGAAGATGTACAGATGTTACCTCCGCCCAAGGATGTTATGTAATCACCAGGGTTTGTTTGTCTGTTAGTGTTACGAGCGGATTTTTACAATATTTACAGTTACGTTTGGAAATGGGACAAGAAACAAATTATTACAATAGAACTTGCACCTGATTCAATCCTGTCTAATTCACTTTTCTCATTTGGTGTCTACAGTTACACACACAGTTACTAAATTTCTGCACAAGGACTTGTCTTCTATTGATGGTACAATGTGCAACTTGTCTGATACTTGTTTGTTACCATGGCGATGTCATAAAATGTGTAGTTTATTTGACATTACAGACGTCTTAACTCGTCCATAAACCTGGATTCTTACACTGATTCAGATCCCCTCTCCACAGACATGACTTAGCAAACAGTCTAATGGAAAAAAAAAACATACTTCCAGGATTAATAACATGGCAAAAATGACCAAAACATGCCAAAAAATCAGACCAGAAAGGTTTTATATAGCTTAATATGGTCGCCTGTATTCAAAGTGTATGAATGCTGTCAACTTGTCAATCTTATTTGTTCTGCGTATGGGTTACAGATCTCGTGGAACCATGTCAGAATCAGCTGAAGCCGTGTCCGCTGACGTGAGCAGCAAGAGAAGTGTGACCATCGAGATCTCCAACGTGACCAACAACTACTGCCTCATCAACCCCAGGTCAGTCTGGTGTTTTTATGAAATGTTTTTATGGATTTGTTCGGCTGTGTATGTTAGAAGACAGGCACGAAACATCAACCAGAGAGCCTACAGAACGTGTTCGGAGACAAGGCCTACTGTATTTCCATTCATTGTCCCAGGAGCATGGGTCACAAAGACATCAACGATCTTTCCACACAGTGTCCATGTGTGCACAGGGAAAGAGACAAGTTTGATTGGGTGACATTTTGGAGTGATCCTAACCAACAGGCTGTTCTCAGAGTTCCCAAAATGGATAAAAAAACTCGATATCAAACAACAAAAGGGTGTCGGTTACTTCACCAAGTTTCATTTAACCCCACTGAATTTTTGTTTTTATCATGCAGGGACACAACATACATCAGTGATCTTGGTGGACTTCACAAATCTGTTGAATTTGCCAGCACCAATCATCAAAATAAAACCGTTCAAACACAAGAAATGAAACGTTTAAAAAAAAAAACATGCAGTACAGTAGAGCCATTTGTCCATTAAGGGCAGATGACCAATGTCCATAAATGTTAACGATCATATGGTTCAGCAGGAAGGGGCGGTAGGGGCCAACAGAAGCTAGTCCATGGGCTGCATTTTGCCCCCGGGCCGTAGTTTAGAAACCCCTTCATGCACGCCAAGTCCCTGGAGTTGTATGTTTATAGTCGGCCTCTAAAATTCATATCCATGTGTCTAATTAAGCTTCAGTAAATCCCATGCTAACCCCTATTATTTAGCTTGATTTTGTCTTTAGTATTGAGAACCAAATGGCTGCAACTTCTGAATAGTACATTTATCTTAGACACAGTCGCTCAAATATGCACCCACAGACCAAAAACTATCAATAACCAACTAACAGAGAAGACATAGAAGGGAAATTACATGTAAACAAGGTGCTCCGCTTTGCAAAGAGGACTGTGAGCTGTCTGTTCTGGAGCTTCTTCGTAGATCCAGACTCTTAAATCAAGCTAGTTTATTTTAGTTTGTCTTCTTTCTGTACTCTTGTTTCATCTATGTATTTGTCTGGTGCACACTGGGGACTTTTGCAAATGTATTCCACTGTGGTTTTACTGCAAACGGCAAATAAAATGAATCTCAATCTTAGTATGGAAGTACGTAACATGGTCGTGTCAAGTCACCATTAAAGGGCCCTAATCTGTCAAAAGGCATTAATAAAACATTCACTTTTTGAATACTTCTTTTACTGATAACAGTAGTTCAGAGATATTTGGATTTCAAAATTAGTTTTACGGCCCCGAAAAAATGTTTTCATTTCGATGTCCCGCCCTTCACCGTTTCACCAATCAGAAAGTGTGTGATCCGGGCGCCAAAACTCATCGCGTAGAGCTAATCTCACTGATAAAGTACCATGTGGTCACAGAACTAAAAAAGGTCTCGTTATGATTCTCAAATCATTAACAACAAAACGAGGAATAAAACAAGGATTTCTATCTTTGTGGAAAAGGTGTTGGTTATAGATTTGTCAAAACTCTGAGATATTATGTTTCCAGCTGGATTCTTCTGCATACGTCTATTTTATCTTATCTGGCAACCCGAGTCAGGGAGTGTGGGGGACGTTGCAGTAGCACTTTTGGCCAGAATTTTTTACATACTGCTTCGTTAAAATAATCAGTGTCTCTTCTGCCCTTCCTGGAAAAGCCATGTTCCAGCTTCTTTCCATCCTGCTTAACTCAATAAAAGTTCAATAATGCGTTAAAAAGTCGATCAACACGATATCAAAGTGTAGAATAACGTCTTGTATTTCTTTTTTTAAGGGTGTATCTGGACAATGGTGAGGCCTACAACCCTCCACAGCCCACAGTGCGCCCCCTAATGACCGAAGTCTGCACCTTCACCAAATCCGGAGGCAAAGCGACCGGCGCGGTGGGCGTCTTGACGTACGACCTTTTTGAGAGATCGCGCAACGACTACATCGAGTCCGTGGCCCTCATGTTCTCCGTGCCCTGGGATTTCAATCTGTACAAGAACTGGTTCGGAGTGGGCATCTACCAGAAGGGCCGCAACTGCGACAAAGATCTGTTCAAAGAGATGTATTACGATAAGAACCCCAAAGATTTCACCCGCGATGAAGCCAAGGGGTCGGGCATCAACTATGTGGGCAGATACATGGATATTAAGGCCACGATGTGTCCCTTAGGAAACGCAATCATGAAGGTGGAAGTCTGGGATAAGATTTTTTGAAATGTCGAAATGATGCGTGAATTGTAATTGAAAATAAATCAGAAGGTTTTAGTGACTTGTCTGTCTTCTTTTGGGTTCTGTTTTAATTGTTGGGGTTGAGCTATTCAGAAATGTTATGTTGATTCTTACAATGCTTTACTCTCTAATCTGTGACTTCCTGTTTCGTACACGGCAATACAAATGATTCTGATTCAGTCATGACTTAAACATTGAGTAGTACGCATTTTTAGACTCCACCCTGAGTCTTTGTTTGAGCAGCATAGGGCACGAAAATGCATAAAAACAAGAAATGCCAAACAATAACATATGAAATGGAGGACACACAAACCAAATGGATACAATACAAGAGGGGTCTCCAACCTTTTCCAATCGGATTGCTACTTTTATACAAAAGAAGAGGCAGAGAGCTACTCCTTGTTGCAGTCATAATAAAAATCTATGCAATAATAACGACAAGAGTGGACTCACATGGAGAACACATGCAAAATATACTGTTATACCCTACATTTATACTTATAATAGATATGTAAGGGTTCAAAATGTATTCAGTAAAGATCATTTGTTAAATTCTAAATCCTTTAGCGAGATACCTGAAAGGAGCTGGCGCGCTACCGGTATCTCCCGAGCCACAGGTTGGAGACCCCTGCTCTACAACAATAGAAGCTCAAACACACACAACAAAGTCTGAATCACCAACAAGTTACAGACACAGACATTTATGGATCTCAGCTTCTCTTATACGTCAAATTTTACTTGCGTTCGTTCATTTTGACCCTTAAACATGATCCTTTTTATGAAAAGGGTGTGTCCACGGCTCAAAAAGGTTGGGGGGCACTGGTCAGGGTTACCTGAGCTGGAGGACTTTGCTACTGTTTGAATAAGCATAGAAAGGACTGTTGGGATTAGATAGCGATTTGGCCTACGTGCAGGACAAGCACAAGACTCTACAAGGACTCCATGTTTTGACTATGATGTGACTGTCTCTGTGTGACACGTACGTCTTTCCATGTGTGACGTGACAATGACTATATAAACTGTGTTCTGACTCCATTCTGTCTGAGAGAAGGAAACAATGGAAACCACTGGAACTTGAGAGAAACTTAAATAAACTGACAGAGACTGTCTGGATCGCAGTCATAATTCCGACAGAAGACTGTTTCATGTCGATGGCAGAGACAGCACGAACAACCACACCATTGCACAGATACATGGAGATGCCAAGTGTATTATACAGAGCGTAGGCATGGAGACTCCAATCAGCAGCTGCACAGTGCCAGTAGCGTGGCTTCGCAGCCAAACACTGGAAAGTTATTTAGGCTTCTGCACTGGTTTACATTGTTGCTTCTCTCAGACAGAATAAAGTTGCTTAAAAGTGTTATGAAATCTCACATAAACTTCCAGAGTTTGGCGCACCACGATCCGTCTCTGTCTGCTTCATTCCTGACAGGACACACAAATCCTCACCATTGCACTGAAATTGGTGATGTCCATATTGCTATCTAATACTAACAATAGCCGGGGAAGCTAATTTGTGAAAATAAGCAGCTGTGTTTTAGGTTTTTTTTGTTTTTCTTTTTTACTAATTTAACTAAGAACCAAGAGTCTGGTCAATACCTAAACCATTGGATTGAGTCCAAACTAAAGGTCAAAGTTATACGGTGATTGTGGCTTTTTGAGTATATACTTTCAATAGACATATCTTTATCATTTAAACTTAGAGACTTCTTCACAATCGCCCTAATTTCTCAACATTCAGAATCTCTAAATACTTCAAAAGCAGAACATTAACTTTTATTGAGATGCACAAAATTGAAAATATGCTTTTAGTTATTAGCATCTGGACTTTTTCCTATCCTGATCTCCAACTGTACGCCTTTATCAGCTTTGATTAAATTTGATTTTATTCACATTTGTTCACAGCAACCGTAACCTTTTTTTTTTTCTGAATTAGTCCGTGCTTTTCAAACCGCTGCTATTGTTGCTGACAGATGCCGCATACCTGGGTATTACCGCTCTCAAATCTTCTTAACATCACAGTTTGTTGAGTACGTTTATAAATCCGTTTGGAGAAATCCGTTTTTTTTTTTTCCTCCTTAAACCAAATCCTCCGGCTGCTTCAATGACATCTGTTTTTCACATAAAATAGCTTCTTTAGAAATGTAAATGATGGGATGGCTCAGTGAGGGCACACGGCTGAATGGAATGCACTCTCCGCTGTTTACCTTGACACTGAGCTCGGAATTATAGCGTCTTCTGCTCGAGCTGTTTGTTCAGTCTCCGTGGATGGAAATACCAAATGAGGAGATAGGTTTGAATGCGGCACAATGGACAGTGGTTCTTTATGTGTAACTTCAGATACAGGCCTTTTGTATCTATTTGCGGTTGACTCGGAGGTGCCGTGGAAGCCGAGGAGCCGGATCAAAGCCATGCTGCCACAAAGAGGAGGTGAACACGGAGGTTACTCTGCGACAATGAGGTGGGATCTGAACTAAATCTGAAATGGTGTGATTCTCTGTGGAGGGTCCGCCCTGAAAGAATAAACAATATTTGTCTTTTCAACATTATGTGAAATATGATCATTCCATTTTTATTTTTGCATTTGTTTCAATATATATATTTATACATTATTTATACATGTATTTATTTACCTACTTGTTTGTTTTTTATTTATTTACTAATGTATTTATTTTATTAAACTGTATTTAATATATACATAATAAAATACATACATGATAATAATAATAATAATAAAAATAATAAAAATAAACAAACAAATAAATAAGTTAATAATAAATGCTTAATAAATTATGTATTTATTATTTACTTATTTATGTGTTTGTTTATTATGATTATTATTATCATTATTATTATTATAATATTTTATTATATCATATTGTTTGTGTAGTCATTTGGACCCGCATGACCTTCCTGGTGGCTGGTCTTTCACATAGAATCACCCATCCATCCATTTTCTTCTCCTTAATCCATTTCTGAGTCGGGGGTGTGGCCATAGATGCCACCCAGTCCACAGAGCACCAGCCCCTCACTGATCCTCCTGCAGGTGCTCAGTCCGCAGGAGGACGGCCGCTCTATGGCATAACCTTGATCTTTCAGTGGGGGCTTCAGGCAAAGTGGGGTTAAGTGTCTTGCCCACGGACACATCGACAGCAGTCATCAGTGGGAGTCGGTGGAGAAGTCACATAGAATCTATTAACATTAAAACATTTCAATCAGTGTAAAAAACGATTACTAAACACATGTGGCCGAAAGAGCACGGACAAATATCTTTCCGGTTTCAAACTCTGTTCAGAATCAGAATATTTTTGTCATTGTAAGTACGAGGAAGTCACGCTGAGGATTTTGCTTTGGCTCAAAAAATATATAAAAGTAAAACATAGATATAAAGGCATAAATTAAAAAACTCTACTGTATAAATAAATGACAAATGTTTTCTCAGTTTGGTTTCATTTTTAGAGGACTCACAAAAAACCAGTTATTTTGCTTCGGGCAGAATACAAAGAAGTACATATTGACATTTTACTTTCTACAAATCTGCCATTAAGAGTCACAGTTTGGTTAAGGTTAGGGGTGGAGAAAAGGCACGGTTTAGCGAGCAGAGATAGATTAGAACATGTTATTGCCTGGCTGTAAATGACGACATTATGGTAGGAATGTTACCAAGCAACCATTTCACCAAAACAACTCTAATGTTCTCAGAAATTGTTATATTTGGAATGACATTGGTAAAAGTGCTGCTGTGGAGAGAACACACGGGTCTGCAGCAAGTCCCGCAGATCCAAGATGGCGTCCTGTTCAAATGAATGGCTTGTTTGGGCATCGTCTGGTCTTCCTGGTTCGGCGCAGTGGACGAGCTCCCATGATTCTTTGCGCCAAAAACGCGTATGTGGCTCTCATGCACGTGCACAGAGGGGCTCGGCCGTGCTTTGACCAATCAGAGCTGCTGATCAGAGTTTGTGGCAGTAAAGTGTGGAAGGATTTAAGAAAAAAAAAAGTTCAGGACGACAAGGGACACACTAAAATGACCACAAAATCTGACTTTTATGAAAGCTGTAGGTTCTCTGTCAGGTTCTCTGTCAGCTGAGGTCGAGCTGTTTTAGGCCCTGTCCACACGAAGTCAAGCTCAGGCCTAAACGCAAAAATACTTTATCAATCCAGTGTATCGTCCATACGAGGCCGGCGTTTTGGGGGGGTGTAAACGAACATTTTTGAAAGTAGGTCCCAGAGTGGAAAGATTTCAAAACTCCGTATATGCCGCTCCGTGGTTACTGCCTCTCCGCAATGTATCTGAGACGCTTGCGTCATCGCCCCGCCTCTTGTTAAAGCACGCATGCGCCGCACTCAGAAAATAATGACAACAACAATGTAGCTTGTTGGTTTTGTAATCCAGTGTGACCCGAAGCAACAGTTCAACCTCATCGTCCGTCCATACTAATGTAGTACCAGCTCGCCCACTCGCCATGTTGTCTGTTTACAAAATTCTGCGCATGCCCAGTTCCCGTCACGGAAGTTTGGGCTTGATCCCGTCATTGCGTCACAGCGCCACCAACAGGTCTGGCATAGTTTCACAGCATTTTCAGGCGTATTGACTACATTCATATGGACGCACACATTTACTGAGCTAACTCCGTGTTTACAGAAAAAGTTTCTGAAATTATAAGCGTTTTGTCTTCGTGTGGATATAGCCTTAGTTTACCGTGATTTGTACGGGGAATTCAGTCTTGTTCAGTCTGCAGTACCACGAGAATCCCCCGATTCAAGTGAAATTTCATTCCTTCTTTCCTTCATGAATGAATGGATTTATCGGCTGCCGCTGTAAAGCACCAAATTGCTGTTGTGTCCTTAGGCAAGACACTTCACCCACATTGCCCATAAGTCTGGTGTGTGTGTGAATAGTTGATAGTGGTCGGTGAGGCTGATGGCAAATACTGGTTTCCTCACTTCTGTCAGTGTGCCTCAGGGCAGCTGTGGCTAAAGTAGAAGTTTATCACCACTGTGTGTGTAGTGAAGGAATAATGTTAAAGTGCCTTTGAGCGTCCAAAACAGCCCTAAAATCAATCAATCAAACTTTACAGTATATGTAGAGCACTTTTCATACACAGAGCAACACAAAGCACTTCACAGTCCACATCAGCTAAGGCACAGATCATCACATAAAACAAACACCAGAATTAAAACATTAAAATCACACAAGAAATTAAAACTTTCAAAACTTTAAAATTACACAAGGAATTAAAAAATAAATAAACAAATAACCACAGTGCATTAAAAATAGAGATACAATCCTTCAGTTGTATGCACAGGCAAACAGAACTGTCTTGAACCTATGCATTCATTATTATTATTATTATAAAAGAACCGGCACTTATGAGTAAATAGTCATGTGATTAATATTTTTTCTGTATAACTTAAATGTCTCCTGTTTATTTTATGTACCTTTAAAAAAAATCCTTGTCTTTCATCCACAATCCAAGAACCCATTCATGATCACTCCCTGTTTGACTCCAACCCCGTCCAACACTGTTAGACCTGAGCTTCTCCCCTTTATTCTATTGATGCGCTCGCAAACACTGCCCTCTAGCGTGCGCTGATGTCACTACAGCACTGGAGGCTTCAAGACAGATTCATATGTATTTACTGCAAATGCAAGGTTATATAAATCCTGGCTCTTTGCTCAGCTCCACATAAATTACCCCCGTATTTTCTTATACATGTCCAGACAAATTTGAATCACATCCACAGTATATTTCCTCAGGAGCATCCATCTCAGTCGAGTATTTGAAGCCAGGCCAAGTTGCGTCATGTTATATTAATCTTAGTGTTGTATAGGAAGCGCGTATAGGTCTATAGCTTCAGATCTAATTTAAAAAACGTGGGTGTGGGGCTTGTGTTTAATGCTGGCCGGCGTCAGAAATGGCCTCATCCTGTTGGTTTGTTATTGTGCGCGCTCTCAGCAGGCAGTGACACCGGCCAGGATCGGGTAACAAAAGGATTTAAGGGACAGTCTGTACGGAGCAAAAGAAAAAAAAAGTGCTGATTTAGTGCTTTCAAAAGTGGGGGAAAGTTGAAGGTGCTCTATAGATTCAGCACAGAGCGGTAGGACAGCCAAAATATGCACACAAGGATACACAATGAGTGAGAGTGTGTTCTCCTCTGGTCCTTAAAGCAGTGGAGTTTATGCTGAGATGTGAAGAACTATTGTCTTTGAAATAGCTATAGTTTTATCTGTCGTCGCTATAGTTTTTTTCTTTTCTTTAATTTCATAGAGAGCTACTTTCATACCAACGACGAGAGCTACTCCTTTTTTCAGTTGTAGTAAAAATGTATCTTAAAATTACGACAAAACACGGAAAGCAGATAATACTGTATAACCCTATATTTATACTTCTTATAGATATGTAATGGCTCAAAAAGTATTCATTCATGATCATTTGTTAAATTCTAATTCCTTTGGCGAGTTACCTGAAGTTCAGGAGTGGAACAAATATGGGTGAGTTCCGCTAATCTTTCGGTCCCCCATGTAGGTCTCAAGCGCTACGGAGCACAAGCCATTGATTAGAATAGGACGCCATCTTGGATCACCGGGGCTCGGATCTATTATAATATCTGGATAAGTTGTTACTAGCTTGGAGACTAAATTCACCCGGGCTAACAGCTCGACCTCAGCTTTTGTGGAGATTTTAGTGTCCCTTGTCATTTTGAACTTTTTTTTCTTCTTAAATCCTTTGGTTTTCTTTAACTCCACACTTTACGCCACAAACTCTGCATGTTTGGCACCCGCTCTAGCTCCGGCTCTAACTCCCGCTCTGATCAGCTGCTCTGATTGGTCAAAACACGGTCGAGCCCCTCTGTGCACGTGCATGAGAGCCACACATGCGTATTTGGCGCAATGCATCATGGGAGCTCGTCCACTGCGCAGAACCGGGAGGACCAGACGATGCCCAAATATCACAGCTTGGTTAGACCTCACTAGACTCTAACAAACCTCACTAGACTCTAACAGACCTCACTAGACTCTAACAGACCTCACTAGACTCTAACAGACCTCACTAGACTCTAACAGACCTCACTAGACTCTAACAGACCTCACTAGACTCTAACAGACCTCACTAGACTCTAACAGACCTCCCTAGACTCTAACAGACCTCACTAGACTCTAACAGACCTCCCTAGACTCTAACAGACCTCCCTAGACTCTAACAGACCTCACTAGACTCTAACAGACCTCACTAGACTCTAACAGACCTCACTAGACTCTAACAGACCTCACTAGACTCTAACAGACCTCCCTAGACTCTAACAGACCTCCCTAGACTCTAACAGACCTCACTAGACTCTAACAGACCTCCCTAGACTCTAACAGACCTCCCTAGACTCTAACAGACCTCACTAGACTCTAACAGACCTCACTAGACTCTAACAGACCTCACTAGACTCTAACAGACCTCACTAGACTCTAACAGACCTCCCTAGACTCTAACAGACTTCACTAGACTCTAACAGACCTCACTAGACTCTAACAGACCTCACTAGACTCTAACAGACCTCCCTAGACTCTAACAGACTTCACTAGACTCTAACAGACCTCACTAGACTCTAACAGACCTCACTAGACTCTAACAGACCTCACTAGACTCTAACAGACTTCACTAGACTCTAACAGACCTCACTAGACTCTAACAGACCTCACTAGACTCTAACAGACCTCCCTAGACTCTAACAGACTTCACTAGACTCTAACAGACCTCACTAGACTCTAACAGACCTCACTAGACTCTAACAGACCTCCCTAGACTCTAACAGACCTCACTAGACTCTAACAGACCTCCCTAGACTCTAACAGACCTCACTAGACTCTAACAGACCTCACTAGACTCTAACAGACCTCACTAGACTCTAACAGACTTCACTAGACTCTAACAGACCTCACTAGACTCTAACAGACCTCACTAGACTCTAACAGACCTCACTAGACTCTAACAGACCTCACTAGACTCTAACAGACCTCACTAGACTCTAACAGACCTCACTAGACTCTAACAGACCTCACTAGACTCTAACAGACCTCACTAGACTCTAACAGACCTCACTAGACTCTAACAGACCTCACTAGACTCTAACAGACCTCCCTAGACTCTAACAGACCTCACTAGACTCTAACAGACCTCACTAGACTCTAACAGACCTCACTAGACTCTAACAGACCTCACTAGACTCTAACAGACCTCCCTAGACTCTAACAGACCTCACTAGACTCTAACAGACCTCACTAGACTCTAACAGACCTCACTAGACTCTAACAGACCTCACTAGACTCTAACAGACCTCACTAGACTCTAACAGACCTCACTCTACAGCCTCCTAGACTCTAACAGACCTCACTAGACTAACAGACCTCACTAGACTCTAACAGACCTCACTAGACTCTAACAGACCTCCCTAGACTCTAACAGACCTCACTAGACTCTAACAGACCTCACTAGACTCTAACAGACCTCCCTAGACTCTAACAGACCTCACTAGACTCTAACAGACCTCACTAGACTCTAACAGACCTCACTAGACTCTAACAGACCTCCCTAGACTCTAACAGACCTCACTAGACTCTAACAGACCTCACTAGACTCTAACAGACCTCACTAGACTCTAACAGACCTCACTAGACTCTAACAGACCTCACTAGACTCTAACAGACCTCACTAGACTCTAACAGACCTCACTAGACTCTAACAGACCTCACTAGACTCTAACAGACCTCACTAGACTCTAACAGACCTCACTAGACTCTAACAGACCTCACTAGACTCTAACAGACCTCACTAGACTCTAACAGACCTCACTAGACTCTAACAGACCTCACTAGACTCTAACAGACCTCACTAGACTCTAACAGACCTCACTAGACTCTAACAGACCTCACTAGACTCTAACAGACCTCACTAGACTCTAACAGACCTCACTAGACTCTAACAGACCTCACTAGACTCTAACAGACCTCACTAGACTCTAACAGACCTCACTAGACTCTAACAGACCTCCCTAGACTCTAACAGACCTCACTAGACTCTAACAGACCTCCCTAGACTCTAACAGACCTCACTAGACTCTAACAGACCTCCCTAGACTCTAACAGACCTCACTAGACTCTAACAGACCTCACTAGACTCTAACAGACCTCACTAGACTCTAACAGACCTCCCTAGACTCTAACAGACCTCACTAGACTCTAACAGACCTCACTAGACTCTAACAGACCTCACTAGACTCTAACAGACCTTCATCCACAAGGAGAAACTCTAAATCTCGTCACACCGGTCTCTTCTTCACAATGTGTTGCAGAACTTATTTGCACAGATCTTCGTGTAAATAACGCTTACTGTACACACATCGATATCTCTGTATAATCAAACTCTTCACTTCCTGTTGAAGGTTGAAAGTGAAAAGTCCCGCACTCTCTGTTCCTTCCAATTGTTTTTGAGCTCCCGGGCTCCTGTATCAGGTGTTTCGTCGGGTCCGCTTCTCTCTTCCAAGTTTTGTTTTTTCAAGCTCAAATCTCCCACGATGCTTTGCAAACTTGGCGTGTTGACCTTCACAGATTGAGAACACACACACACACACACCTCGGTGAGCGCACACTGAGGAGGTGAGGAGAGTTTCATTTTGGCCCCGGTGTTTGTGCGTCTGTCAGTGTGCGGCGGCCATCTTGGAGGTGTTGAAGCGGGGCCAGTGCGGGGCCATTGCGGTGCCGTCTCCACAGGGTCCGCCTCGAGCCAGGTGTTTGGATCTCACACATGAAGTCATCACTCACGCCACGTTCCATACACCGCCTGGCTGCTCACAATATTATCATTCACTCCATCCGGCGACACACACACAACAGTGACACACACACACAACAGCGACACACATACAACAGTGACACACGCACACAACAGTGACACACACACACAACAGCGACACACATACAACAGTGACACACACACACAACAGCGACACACATACAACAGTGACACACACACACACAACAGCAACACACATACAACAGTGACACACACACACAACAGCGACACACATACAACAGCGACACACACACACACAACAGCGACACACATGCTAGCGACACACAATGGTGACACTCAACAGTGACGCACACACCAGCGACACACACAACAGCGACACACCACTAACACACACTCAAGCGAAAGGCACACCAGAGATACACGCAACAGCGACACAAACACCAGAGACACACACAACAGTTACACACACACCAGCGACATGCACACCAGTGACATGCACACCAGAGACACACACAACAGCGACACACACACACCAGCGACATGCACACCAGAGATACATACACCAGAGATACACACAACAGCCACACAAACACCAGAGACACACACAACAGTTACACACACACCAGCGACATGCACACCAGAGACACACACAACAGCGACATACACACCAGTGACACACATACAACAGTGACACACACACACAACAGCGACACATACAACAGCGACACACATACAACAGTGACACACATATAACAGTGACACACACACACACACACACACACCGGCAATGCACATGCTAGCGACACACAATGGTGACACTCAATAGTGACGCACACACCAGCGACACACACACAACAGCGACACACCAGTAACACACACTCAAGCGAAAGGCACACCAGAGATACACGCAACAGTGACACACACACAACAGCGACATACACACCAGAGATACACACAACAGCCACACAAACACCAGAGACACACACAACAGTTACACACACACCAGCGACATGCACACCAGTGACATGCACACCAGAGACACACACAGCAGCGACACACACACACCAGCGACATGCACACCAGAGACACACACAGCAGCGACACACACACAACAGTTACACACACACCAGCGACATGCACACCAGAGACACACACCAGACATACACGCAACAGTGACACACACACAACAGCGACACACACACATCGACTTGCACACCAGAGACACACACAACAGTGACACACACACCATGTGGAAATACAAATGATGAACAAATCATAACCAGACCTTTTTTAGTTCTGCGCCACATGGTACTTTACCAGTGAGATTAGCTCAACACACTGAGTTCTGGCGCCCGGATCACAGACTCTCTGATTGGTGAAACGGTGGAGGGCGGGACATCGAAATGAAAACAAAAACAAGATTTAGGGGCCGTAAAACTAATTTTGAAATCCAAATATCTCTGAACTACTGTTATCAGTTAAAGAAGTATTGGAAAAGAGCAGGTTTTATCAACGCCTTTTGACAGATCAGGGCCCTTTAATGATGACTTGACATGAAAATCTTACTTATTGCTACTTTAAATTTCCTTGGACCGTCCTGCATCGGCAAAAAAACGCTTTACTCAGCTTGGAAAGTTTAATTTGGTTAAACCTGGATAAAAACTATGTAAGGTGTCGGCTCCAAGACGTAAGGAAACTAAAAAAGAAAACCCATAGTAAAGAAAAGGCGGTTAAGAAAAGGGGGGGGGGGCGGGGAAAAAGGGGTGGGGGGGGGGGGGGGGAATAAGGGGGGAGGGAGGGGGGGGGTGGGGGGGGGTGTGAGAAAAGGACAGGGGTATATTTTTGGTAAGTGGGGGGGTTGGGGGGTGGGGGGGGTTGGGGGTGGGGTTTGATTATTTGGGGGGGGGGGGGGGGGGGGTGTTGGGGGGGGGGATTTTTTATTTATATGAAAAATAATACAAAAATTAATAAAATAAAAAAATAAAAAAAAAAAAAAAAAAAAAATGTCTGGTTCTACACTTTGGGTAACAGCGTCGTCAAATAAGAAAAATAAAAAAAAAGAAATAAAATAAAAAAAAAAATAAAAGAATAAAAGAAATGAAAATAGAAAAAAAGGAAAAAAACAGACAAAAAATGAAAATGAAAAAATAATGAAAACAACATTCCGAATTCAATAAAGAAAAAAGAAAAAACAAAAACCAAAAAAAAAAAAAAAAAAGACGAACAGCTAAAAATATATAAAAAAAAAACAAATAAAAAAACCCATAAAGAAGAAAAAAAAAAAAAAAAAAGAAGACAAAAAAAAAAAAAAACAGAACAAAAAAAAAAAAAAAACAAAACACAAAAAAAAACACAAAAAAACAAAAAAAAGCAAAAAAAAAAAAAAAAAAAAAACAAAAAAAACAAAAAAAACAAATAAAAAGAAGTAAAAAACAAGTAAAAAGAAAAAAAAAAAATCAAAAATAAAAAAAAACAAAAAAAAAAAAAAAAACAAAAAAAAAAAAAAAAAAAAACAAAAAAAAAACCAAAAAAAAACAAAAAAAAAAACAAAAAAAAACAAAAAAAAAAAAAAAAAACAAATAAAAAATAAAAAAAAAAAAAAAAACAAAAAAAAAAAAAAAAAATAAAATAAAAAAAAAAAAAAAACAAAAAAAAAAAAACAAAAAAAAAAAAAAAAACAAAAAAAAAAAAAAAAAAACAAAAAAAAAAAAAACTAAAAAAAAAAAAAGAAAAAAAAAAACAAAAAAAAAAAAAACAAAAAAAAAAAAAAAATAAAAAAAAAAAAAAATAAAAAAAAAAAAAAAAAACAAAAAACAAAAAACCCCAAACAAAAAAAAAACAAAAAAAAAAAAAAAAAAAAAAAACAAAAAAAAAAAAAAAAAAAAACTAAAACAAAAAAAAAAAAAAAACAAAAAAAAAAAAAAAAGTAAAAAACAAAAACAAAAACCACAAAAAAAAAACAACAAAAAACGAAATCATAAAAAAAAAACAGTAAACACCCAAGAAAAAATACAGAACAACTAAAAAACACAACATACAAAAACACAAAACATCAACCCAAAATATAACAAAACCAACAACACAAAACAACATCCGCCCCCCCCCAACAAACCCACATCCAACCCCCACCCCCCCCCACACCCCCACACCCCACCACCCACACACGCCACCACACCAAACCACCAACTACCACACCCAACTAAACCAACCCCGCACTCACCACCACACCAAACCACCTACGCCCCTATTCAACCAACACCCACCCCCACAACAACCAACCCCACCACACAACCCCACATACACAAACGACAGCCACACAAAACCCAAAACAACCACCCAAACCAACACACAACTCGCAAACACACCACACACCCCCACACCCCACTCCCCCCCAAACCACCCACCCAACACCCACACATCCCACAGACCAGCCACCACCAACAACACCTACACAAGACACAAAAAAGACACCAACAACACCAACAATCAAACACACAACAAAAAAACAAATAAGCCATCCCCACCCTCACCCCCCCACCACCCCCTCCACCCCACAACACCCACCCCCCCCCCCTAACCACACCCCAAAAAAACCACCCACCCCCCACCCAAACACACAAACCACCCACACCAACCCCCAACCACTCCCCACCAACCAGACAAAACCCCCACCGGACCCCCCACAATCCCCCCCCCCCCAACACACACAAACCTACAACACCCAATCCACCCCCACACCCCCCCCCACACCCCCCCCCCCCCCCCCACCCCCCCCCTCCACCCCCCCACCCCCCCCCACCACCCCCCACCCACACACCCCACCCACCAAACCACACCCCCCCACCACACCCCACAACCCGCACCAACACCAACCACACCCACACACACCAACCACCCCACCACCCCCCACACCCCCACCCCCCCTCACCCCACACCAACACCCCCACCCAAACACCTCACCACCCACCCCACCCCAACCCAACAACCCCCACCCCCACCCCCCCCCCCCCCACCCCCCCACCCCCCACCCCCCCAACCCCCAACCCCCCCCACCCAACACACCCACCCCCCCCCAACAACACACACCCCACCCCATACCCCCCCAACACCACCCACCCCCCCACCACCCACCCCACCCACCACCCACCACACCCCTACCAACCACACAACCCCACACCCCCCCCACCCCAACACCCCCAAACACCCAACACACACTACCCCACAACCCCACCCGCCCACACCACACCACACCCCACCACCCAAACCACCCCCACATCACACACCCACCACCCACACCCAACACCCACCCCCACCCACACACACCCACCAACCCCAACACACTCAACAACCCCCCACCACACCCCCACACCCACTCCCCAACCACCCACACCACATCCCACCCCCCTCCCCCCCCCAAACCCACACACCCCCACCCCCCCACCACCCCCCCCCCCACCCCACCACACCACTCCCCACCCACCACCCCCCCCCACCCACACAACCCCCCCCCACCCCCACCCACATACCCCCCCACCCCCCACCCCCCAACCACACCCACCCACCCACCCCACCACCAACCCCCCCTCCCCCCCCCACCCACAAACCCAAACACCCCCACCCCCCCCCACCCCCCTCCAGCCCCCCCCCACAACCACCACCACCAAACCCCAACCCCCACCCACCCCCCCCCCCCCCCCCCCCCCCCCCCCCCCCCCCCACCCCCACCCCCCCCCACCCACCCACCCCCCCCACCCCCCCCCCCCACCCCCCCCCCCCCCCCCCCCCCCCACCCCACACCCCCCCCCACCCCCCCCCACACCACCCACCACACCACCACCCCCCACACCCGACACCACCCCAACCCCCCCCCACCACCACCCCCACAACCCATCCCCCCCACCCCCCACCCCCCCACACCCCCCCCCCCGCCCCACCACCCTCACCACCCCCCCCGCCCACCCACCCCCCCCCCCCACCCCACCACCCCCCCCCACCCACCCCACACCCCCTCACCCCCACCCCCCCACCCCACACCCCCACCCACCCCACCCCCCCACACACCCCACCCACCCCACCCCCCACCCACCCCGACCCCCACCCGCACCCCACCTCCACCCCACCCACCCCGCCCACCCCACCAACCACCACCCCACTCACCCCCCCACCACCCCCACCAACACCCCCCAACCCCACACCCCCTCCCACCCACCCCCCCCACCCCCCACCAACCCCCACCCACCCCCACCCAACCCCCCCCCCCCCCACACAACCCACCCCCCAAACCCCCCACACCCACCCCCACACCCCCACCACACCCCACCCACCCCACCACCCCCCCACCCCCCACAAAACAAACCCCCCCCCCACCCCCCCGCACCACCCACCCCCCCAACACCCCCCACCCACCCCCCCCACCACCCACCCCCCACCCCCTCCCCCCCCCACCCCCCACACCCCCCCCACCAACCCCCCACCCCCCCCCCACCACAACCCCACACCCCCCCCCAACCCCCCCCACCCCCACCCCCCAACCCCCCACCCCCCACCCACACACCCCACACCAACCCCCACAACCCCCCCCCCCCCCCCCCCCACCCACCCCCCCCCCCCACCAAACCACCAACACCCCCCGCCGCAACAACCCCTTCCACCCCCCCCCCCACCCGCCGCCCCCACCCCCGTCCCCCCCAGCCCCTCCCCCCCCCCCCCCGACCCCCCCCCCCTCCCCCCCCCAGCCCCCCAGCCCGCCGCCAACCCCCCCCCCCCCCCCCCCTCCCCCCCCGCCCCCCCCCCCTCCCCCACCCCCCCCCCCCCCCCCCCACCCCCGCAACGCCGCACAACCCCCACCCCCCCCAACCCCCCCCCCCCCCGCCCCCCGCCCCACCCCACCCCCCCCCAATGCCCCCACCCACCCCCCAACCACCAAAACCCCACCCCCCCACCACACCCCCCACCCCCCCACACCACCCCGCCCACCCACCACCCCCCCCCGAACCCCCCCCCCCACCCACCCCTCCCCCCCGCGCCAACCCCAACCCAACCCGCTCCCCACCCCACCCCACCCCTCCCGCCCTGCCCGTCGCCCACCTCCTCCCCCCCCCCCCCCCCCCCCCCCCCACCCCCCATAACACCCCACCCCCCTCCCCCCACCACCAACCCCCCCCCACCCACCCCCCCACAACACCCTCCCCCCCACCCCCCACCCCACCCCTCACCCCCCCACCAACACACCCCCCACCCACCAGCCACCCCACCAGACCTGTCCACCCCCCACCCCCCCGCCCCCAACCCCCCCCCCGCCCAACCGGCCCCACACCAACCACCCCCCCACCGCCCCCGCCCCCACCCCCCCCCACGCCCACGCCACCCCCACCCCAACCACCCCCACCCAAACCCCCAACCCCCTCCCACCCACCCCCCCACCAACAACCCCTCAACCCCCCCACCCACCCCCCGCCCGCCCCCCCCTAACCCCCCCGCCCCAACAACCGCCACCCCAGCGCCCAACCCCCCACCCCCCCCCTGCCCCAACCCGCCACCCCCCCAACCCCCCACCCACACCCCCCCCCTCCACCCCCCCCACCCCACACCTCCCCACCCCCCCCCCCCCCCCAAACCCACCCCACCCCGCGCCACGCCCCCCCGCCCCACGCCCCCCCCCACCCCCCCCCCCCCCCCCCCCCGCCGCCCCCCCCCCCGCCCCCCAACCCCCCCCCCCCCCCCACCCCCTCCTCCCGCCGTCTCCCCCACCCCCCCCCCCCCCCCCCGCCCCCCCACCCGCCCCCCCCCCCACCCCCCCCCCCCCCACTGTCACCTCACCAACACCCCCCCCCCCCACCCCCCCCCCCCCCACCACAACAACAACCCACCACCCCCCCCCCACCCTCCCCCACCCACCCCCCCCCCCCCCCCCACCCCACCCCCCCCCCAACCCCCCCCCCCCGCCGCCACCCCACCCCACCCCACCCCACCCCCCCCCCCAACCCAAGACGCCACCCACCACCCCCCCCTCCACGCCCCCCCCCCCATCCCCCACCACACCCCCCCCCCCCACCCCTCACCAAACCCCACCACCCACCCCCACCTCCCCGCCTCCCCCCCCCACCCCCCCCCCCACCCCCACCCCCACCACCCACCCCTGCCACCCACCCACCACTCACCCACCACACCCCGCCCCCGCCACCAGCACCGACCCCCCATCCCCTCGCCCCTTACACCACTCCCCACCACCCCCCCACCCCCCCCCCCCCACAACCCCACCCCCCCACACCACCCCCCCACCCCCCCCACCACCCCCCCCCACCCACACCCCCACCCCAACCACCCCACCCCCACCCCACCCCCCAAACCCCCACCCCCCCCCACCCCCACCCCCCAACCCCCCCCCCACCCCCCCCCCCCCCCCCCCCCCCCCCCCACCCCCCCCACCCCCCACCAACCCCCCACCCCCCCCCCAACCCCAACACCCCCCCCACCCCACACCACCCCAACCCCCACCAACCCCACCCCCCAACACCCCCCCCCCCCCACCACCACCCACCCCCCACACCACACCCCCCACCACACCCCCACACCCACCACCAACACAACAACCAACCCACCCCCCCACCCCCCACCCCCACACACCCCCCACCCCCCCCCAACCACCCCCCCCCCCCCCCCCCCCCCCCCCCACCAACCCACAACCACCACCCCCCACAACCCCCAACCCCCCCCCCACCAACCCAACACCCCCCCCAACCCCCCCCCCCCCCCCCAACCCCCCCCCCAACACCCACCCCCCCCACCCCCAACACCCCCACCCCCCACCCCCACCCCACCCCCCCCCACACCCCCACCACCCACCCCCCCACACCCCCCCCACCCACACCACAACACCCAACCACCCCCCCCCCCACCAACCCCCCCCCACCCCCACCCACCACCCCACCCCACCCCCCACACCCACCCCCACCCACCCAACCCCCCCCACCCCCCCCCCACACCACCACCACCACCCCCACCCCCCACCCCCCACCCCCCAACCACCCCCCCAACCAACCAACCACACCCACACCCCACCACCCCCCACCCACCCCACCCCCCCCCCCCACCACCACCACCCCCCCCCCCCCCCCCACCCACCACCCCACCCCCCCCCCCAACCCCACCCCCCCCCCCCCCCCCCCCCACCCCCCCACCCACCCCCACACCCAACCCCCCCCCCACACCCCCACCCACCCACCCACC